CAGTTTGAATTGACTTCTCTCCCCCTCAGTTCTCCTTTTTCTTTACTTATTATGTAATGCTTATGATTAACCTAAAATTGATAGTGTCTGTGTAAAACAGCAAGAGAGCTGGCAAGATTTCAAATATAATGAAAGAAAGAGAGAAAATTTTTCATTTATACATTCATTTAAAAAACAGATACACACATATTAACTAGTATGCACCGTGTTTAATTACAAAATAATGTGTAACTTCTTCAAATAATTTATCAGTTACAGATATGTTAAAATGTTTATTAAACAGTGTTTGCATTGTTGGGCAAAACCATGTTTTATTAGCATTAGAAAAAACATAGGCAAGAGACAGAAGAGCATAAGGATATCTTAGAAGGGAGCTAACTTAAAATATATATTAATACCTGGAGCTGAGCTTCTGAAGCACAATTCCATAGCTGTTATGTTGTATTCCTAAGATTGTACTTCCCCAAAGTACAGACTTTTGGAATATCCGAAAACTTCACATTGATATCAGTGTTCAAAAACACATTGACATATAAACTTTAAATATGGTAACTGGATGGATAGCTTCTGGGCTAGTATTATAACAGCCACCCAAAGTGCCAGTGTATTTTTGGATATGCACTTTGACGCTGAGCCACAGTCTATTTTTAGAAGATGTTATTATGGATCTCCACATCTGTTCAACCCAACATAATGTGCCTGTTCTACACCTACACTAAAAATAATGTGTGGTAGGATATGAGGATTAAGCATTAATTCCTTTTGATTAGGTTGTTTGGAAAAATTGGTTGATTATAGTTCAATTCAAAAGAAGACATACCCATTTGCTTTATCACTATTAATCACACTGTTTGAGCTCCTTGGTATGATTTAAAATAATACATTTATTTCTGGACAGGTTTGGGCAACTATAATCAATTCATTGGTATTGTGCTTCTCCAGTGAAGACCCTTATAGAGAGAAGGCAGTCTGACATGACAACGATGAACTGTGGGATATGGGAATAAACATTTTACAATACCTGTTTATTCAGAAATGCATCACAAGACTAGCCTGTGGAGGATGAACTGTTCCTGTACTGAACAGTCTCCCAGATCACATAGAAATTTTCAGTAGTATCTTAAGTATAGAAGATAATTAACAGTATAAGAAATATTCAGAACTTAATAGACTTGCAAAACATAGGTAGGTATAAGATAACTTTCAGTCACAACGATCCTACCTTGAATTCAACTCGGTTGGAATGCAGGTAATTTCTCTAGCTGCTAAACAGAGCAGTTTGAACCTCTGTAGTGTGTCCATCCTCACAGGACCCCTAGATTCCTCTCTTTTTGCAACCAAATGCCTCTCTTACTCCCTCCCACGTTTTCTCACCCACTCTACATGGAATACTACTCAATAGTACAGAGAGGACTTTTTTTTTTTTAACTGGGAAATGTGTCCAGTTTTCATCTCTCAACCATTTCTCCCATCCAGTTTTGCCTGTTGAATAGACCAGAGCAATGACACGCTGCCCATCTATTACGGCCTGCTGTGTCTATGGGTGATAAGCTGTTCTGAAATCTAGACTTACCCCTCCTAAGCAACTGGTTGTTGGCTAAGGTGATCAATTTCCTTACTGACATATCTCAGGTTTGAAACTTTGACCTATTTGTGCATTTTGTGTCCAAAACTAAGAGTTTTATTTAATTAAACTGAGTTATTCCAAGAGCTCTAGTCTTTGTATGTAAGAAAGAAGTAGATTGTAATAAAATATGTATACACTCCCATAGAAACCTTCATGTGCTGTAGAGACTGAACTATGGACTCTTGGGAGCCATTTGAAAATCTAGCACATGTTTTTGTTTTTTTTTTTTTTCTGATGGCAGCAGTAATGGATACTGTGGAAGAAGGTTAGCTTTTAAGGACTTTGAACTTCTTTTCTCCTCCTTTGAATTCCTGCACTAATTCTGCCTTCTCCCTGTCTTCATTAGAAGCAAAACCCACTATTTCCTCTATCAATATGTAATATATGTCGGAAAAGACATCTCTTTATTGCAGATTGCTTTTTAGAAGAGAAAACGTGTAGAGGTTAAAAATGTTTATTTTTTTTTTACTTGCTAAATTGCCTGGTAAGTACACTACATATAGAAAAGAACGCTGATTATAATGAGGATGACTATATTTATCATTGAGACAATTTCAGTTACCAAGAAATCATTTGAAAAGATTATAAAGCTAGTTTGTACTAACCTTGGTTTTATAAGTTATAACCTGATAAAACTATATGAAGCCGACTTCTGGAGCTTAAAAATGTTAGATGTGCCACAAGGAATGGAGCACCACATTTCCTATGTTTTTATTTTTTGTTCTTTAAGGGCCCTCTAGGATTTCTGGCTTCTGGATGGCCCTGCGGAATTTTAATGGTCCCAATTTCAGGCACAATTTGTTTTTTGTTGAAGTGTCAGATCTATTTTAATGGGGGCTAAAACCATGCAACTGCTCAGGTGCAAAACAGCTTAAGGGAAATATCAGGGAACATAAGAGAATGGAGATTGCAATGACGGACTTTCATTTATAGCCTCAATTTACATATTCAGATACCCATATTCTCTTAAAAATAACAATGAATTAAACCCAATAATCAAGTACATGTATGTAGTTCCTTATATGATTTATTTGCATGTGGATAAGAAGGTATTTAAAGTAGGACATGATCATCTTAGCAGATTAATAACCAAGCCAGCACTATTATAGTATCAAAGAGGAAAAGTCTTCCATAGGAATTATTTCTTTCATAAAGAGAACAACCTTGTCCATGTTGACCAGGGTACACCTTGGGATGAATAAATTTTGGTCATGACTGAATATAGAAAAAATGCCTGCCACATATACTCATACACTTGTGATAACAAGAGGACAATGTCATTTGTTATCAAATGCAGGTGGGAAATGATATAAGACTTAGTAAGTTTCAAGTCTTAAATAGGAATATATAAAGCAGAAACATGTAGAAATATACATTTATGATTGTCTTAGCTCTCACAATAACATGATATCTAATATTGTTGATTACAAGGTCTCTAATTATGACTTGTTCTTCTCTCTTTACATGTTTATTTTCATCTAACCACAAAATTTATATATGTTAGTGGAAATTATCTCTAGAGTTTACATTTCATTCTAGTCAATCCTGTATGTTTACACTGACTGTTATCAAAAAGCTTTCTAAAAGTTGCCTATTTATTCAGAGTTTAAAAAACAGTTCAATTATAAAGACTGGATCACAAATAGGTCATATAAATGATGAAATGAGGCAATGCAAGAAATTGAAGCACTTTCTTAAACAAAACACAAAATCATAATCCATATTTTCTAAGTGTATTTTATCCCATGGGAAAGCCAAGATTTACTAATATCTTAAAATGTGGCATCTTGTTTTCATCTTCTTTCTTACTAAAATTAAAATACCATAGTAACAATTACAGAAATATACCTCCAAAGGAATATTTATAATGTGACTTTTATATTATGCCATTTCCCCCACATATACTTAATATGTGTATATCCAAGGTATTTGTGTTTTACGTTAATTTGCTTTGCTTGTGACAGAAACTAACTATGTTGTTAAGGTAGGAATCATCTAACTGGATCTTAACTTTGGTAAAATTGGTAAGCTATGCATAGGGTCATTTCCTATTAAAAAATAGGTTGGATGATCAAATGTAACTACTGTGCAAAGTAGCTGCCCAGCAACTACTGTGCCCTTTTAAGTAAATCCCTGATGTTGTAAGGTTAAGATTTCACTCCTGAAAATATATTCAATGCTGTAACATACTAAAGTTATTAATAAAAGTAAACATTTATAATTAGCAAATACTATGTTAAAAACTATTGCTTTAATATAGACCCTCTTAAGGAGGAAGCACCTTGAGATGTGGGCTGTGTCTTATTATTTTAAAAATCATTTTATGCTTTTAGCACACTATTAGTTATAATTAGACAAATGTTTATTAACTGAATGAATTTACCCTTCATATATGTGTGTAGTTTTGCTAGAAAAATGTAGATTTATTAGATAGACAATATTATATATTTAAACACAAGAAAACACTGCCTTTAAACAACTTAAAACCCTTGTATATTCCAGGGAACTTAATATGTTTACTGTCAAATACCTTTTATTATTATATTTGTTTCCAAAATAATGCTACATCATTTACTCAAATTCTTTCTACTATCACCATTAGACTTTATCTAATGAATCCTTTTCCATTTATCAAATTCATTCCTTTGAACTTTCAATTTAATTTTATTTGTACTTTGACTACATACTTTTCTCTTTTCAGTTTGACTTTTTATATATTTTTTATATTTTCACACATACTTATGTATCTTCTTTTACTGTTCTAGGCTGATAGCGCCTTGAAAATAGGACCTGCGTTTTTTTCCTCTTAGTACCTTAGTGGCGATTCATAGCACATACTAACAATACAATAAATTAAATGGATAGAAGACCATCAATTTATTAAGTGCTTATTCTGTGTACAAAAATGGATTAGATCCCGAGGATACAAAGAAACATGACAGATAGCTCTTATTTTAGGAGTCTATGGTATGTATTCTTATATTTAAAAATATAACAACAGGTATGAGTTCACAATTTTTCACATTTTTATTCAGCCTTTATATTTGGGAGTGTTTTTTTTAATTTTCCCCAAATTTTATTTATCATAGTACAGTTTTTAAAATCTTTTCATGGAAATAGTTTTATTTTGGCATGAACTAAATTGAAACAACTTTATCAAAACCAAATAGGTTCCAAGACTTCCTAACATTCAGTCTGAACCTTCTATCAGATATTCTACGTCTGTGCTTCTACTGTGTTCCTCTTCAAAAAAAAAAAAAGAAAACACCTGTGTGTACATGTAGCCCAAATCAGATATAGTACTAAAGAGATTATCAGGATAAATTATATAACTTGTTGACTATTCCTTTAGACTACAGAGTAAGGTACTTACAGGAGACTGGAGCTCACTGAGTAAATGAACTACCTGTCCACTTCATTCCAAACGTCTCTATCCCAAGGGTGAATTTGAGATTTGTTTGCCCTTCTTCTCATATCTTGTCTTGGCTGCCTTGGGAATAAGCCCTCTCTTTGCCATGAACCTCAGTGTCTCAGCATTTTGGCTTGCTGTGTGTTAGGAAAAACAAACCTGATTCAATATCAGAATTAGGCAAGAATTTTGATGAACACCTTAGCAATGAATTCAGCCTTCTTTTATATGCTGAAAGAAGAGCTACTATCTAAAGTGAACTTTGCTAAAAGAATACTAATAAAATTGAGGACCAGGGGACAAGTTGGAGTAGAAGGACCTTAGTATACCTCCCCTCATGAAAAACATCAAAATCAGAACTAACTGTTGGAAAACCATTGACAAAAAAGGACTAGAACCTACCAAAGAAGATATTCTACTTCCAAAGACAAAGCAGCCACCACAATGAGATGGCAGGAGGTGCGTTATAATACAATCAAATCACATACCCACCAGGTGGGTGAACAACAAATTGGGAAACAGTATCACAGAGGTTCTCCCACAGGAGTGAGGATTCTGAGACCCATCAGGCTTACCAGTCTGGGGATCTGGCGTCAAGAGGAGGAGCCCTCAGAGCGTTTGGCTTTGAAGGTCAGTGGGGCGTCATCACAGAAACGCCACAGGACTGGAGGAAACAAACAGCACTCTCAGAGGGCACACAAGATCTCATGCAGACCAGGCCCCAGGGCTAAAAGCAGTGACTTCACAGGAGAGAAGGCCAGATCTACCTGCTTGTCCAGAAGGGTCTCTTGGGGAGTTGGGTATGGCTATGGCTCACTGCCAGGACAAGAACACTGGTGGAAGAAGTACTGGAGAGTACTCACTGGTGTGAGCTGTCCTGTCCTAGAGGATGCCATTGTGATGCCAAGACCTGACCCCCCCCAATAGCCCTCAGACTCCAGTGCTGGGATGCCTCAGGCCAAACAAGCAACAGGGTGGTAATGGAGCCCCACTCATCTAAAGCCCCGTACACCAGAGGAACAAGACCCAGCTCCACTCACCAGTGGGCAGGCTCCAATCCCTCCCATCAGCCAGCTTGCACATAAGCCTCTCAAACCAGCCACACAAGCCATGAGGCAGGCACCAGAAGCAAGAGGAAATACAATCCATTGGGTTGGGAACTGCAAACACAGAAAGTCAGACAAAATAAGATGGTAGAGGAATATGCTCTAGATTAAAAAACAAGATAACATCTCAGAACAACTAAGTGACATGAAGATAGGCAAATCTACCTGAAGAAGAATTCAGAGTAATGGCAGTAAAGATGATCTAAGATCTTGGAAAAATAGAGGCATAGACTGAGAAGATCAAGAAATATTTAGCAAAGAGCTAGAAAACTTAAACAACAAAGTTGATAATACAATAACTGAAATGAAAAATACACTAGAAGTAATAGCAGAACAAACGAGGATGAATGGATAAGTGATCTGGAAGACAGGATGATGGAAACCATTGCCGTGGAACAGAATGAAGAAAAGAAATGAGGACAGTTTATGAGCTGTCTGGGACAAAATTAAACCCACCAACATTTGCATCAGAGGGGTCCCAGAAGAAGAGAGAAAGGACCTGAGAAAATACTTGGAGATAGTAGCTGAAAACTTCTCTAACATGGGAATGGAAAGCGTCACCCAAGTCCAGGAAATGCAGAGTCCCAAGCAGGATAAACTCAAGGAGAAACATGTCAAGATACATATTAATCAAATTAACAAAAATTAAATGCAAAGAGAAAATATTAAGAGCAATAAGGGGAAAAACAACAAATAACATACAAGGGAATCCTCATAAGGTTATTGGCCAATTTTTCAGCATAAAATCTGCAGGCCAGAAAGGAATGGAGTGGTATATTTAAAGTGATAAAAGGAAAGAAACTACAATCAAGAACATTCTACCTGGCAAAGCTCTCATTCAAATTTGACAGAGAAATCAAAAGCTTTATAGACAACAAAAGCTAAGAGAATTCAGCACCACAAACCAGCTTTATATCAAATGCTAAAGGATCTTCTCCATGTAGAAAAGAAAGGGCCACAACTAGAAGCAATAAAATTATGAATGGGAAATCTCACCAGCAAAGGCATATATCTAGTAAAGGCAGGAAATCATCCAGATGCAAATATATCAACAGCAGCAATCATGAGAAGAGGCAAGGACAAATGTTGGAAATGCATGGATATTGGAAATAAACTTGAAATTAACAAACCAGCAACTTATATATCAGTCAATTCAATCACTTAGTCATGTCCAACTCTTTGCGACCCCATGGACTGCAGCACGCCAGGCATCCCTTATATATATCTGACTGCTATTTCAAAATCTCATGGTAAATATAACCCAGAAATCTATAATAGATATACACACAAAAAAAGAAAAGGCAATCCAAATATAACACTAAAGATGGCTATCAAATCACAAGAGAACAAAAGAGGAAGGGAAGAAAAAAAAACAACCTACAAAAATAAACCCAAAACAGTTAACAAAGTGGCAACAAGAGCATCCAAATCAGTAGTTACCTAAACGTAAATGGATTAAAGGCTCCAACCAAACGACATAGACAGGTTGAATGGACTGTAAAAACAAGTCCCACATATGTGCTGTCTACAAGAGAGCCATCTAAGATCTGGAGACACCTATAGACTGAAAGTGAGGGAATGGAAAAAGATATTCCATGAAAATAGAAATCAAAAGAAAGCTGGAGTAGCAAGATTCATATCAGACCAAATAGACTTTAAAATACTGTCTGTTGCAAGAGACAACATAATGATCAAGGGATCAATTCAAGAAGAAGACATAACAACTATAAATATATATGCACACAGCATAGGAGTACCTCAATATATGTCAAATGCTAACAGCCAGAAAAGGAGAAATTGACAGTAACACAATAATAATGGGGCACTTTAACACCCCACTTACATCAATGAACAGATCATCTAGACAGAAAATCATTAAGGAAACACAGGCCTTAATTGACACATTAGACCAAATTGACTTCATTGATATTTATAGGGCATTGCATACAGAAGCAGCAGAATACACATTCTTTTCATGTGCACATGGAACATTCTCTAGGATAGATCACATGCTGGACCATAAAGTATGCACTGATAAATTTAATAAAATTGAAATCATATCAAGAATCTTTTCGGACCACAAATCCAGAACAAAAAAAAAAAAAAAATTAACAATTTGTATGGAAACATGAAAGATCCCAAATACTAAAACAATTTAGAAAGAAAAATGAAGCTGGAGGAGTCAGGCTTCCTTCTTCAGACTATACTACAAAACCACAGTAATTAAAACAGTATGGTACAGGCACACAGACAGACACATAGATCAATGAAACAGGATAGAAAGTGGAGAAATAAACCCATCTACCAATGGTCAATTAATCTACAACAAAGGAGACAAGAATATATAATGAAGACAATCTCTTCAATAAATGTTACTGGGAAAACTGGACAGTTATTATGTACAAGAGTAAAAGTAGAACATTCTAAAATACCATACACAAAAATAAACTCAAAATGGAATAAAGACCTACATGTAAGACCAAATACTATAAAACTCATGGAGGAAATAGAGCAACAATGCTTGACATAAATCGCAGCAAGATTTTTTTTTTGGATACACCACATAGAGTAATGAAAATAAAAACAAAAGTAAACAAATGAGGCCTAATGAAACTTAAAAGCTTTTGTACAGCAAAGGGAATCATAAACAACAACAAAAATATTTGCAAACAATGCGACCTACAAGGGAACAATCTCCAAAATATACAAACAATTCATGCAGCTCAAATATAAAAAAAAAATTCAGTCAAAAAATGGGCAGGAGATCTAAACAGACATTTCTCAAAAGAAGACATACAGATGGCCAAAAAGCACATGAAAAAATGCCCAACATCACTAATTATTAGAGAAATGCAAATCAAAAGTACAATGAGATATCACTTCATATAGGTCAGAAAGGCCATCATCAAAAACACCTACAAATGATAAATGCTGGACAGGGTGGTGTGGAAAGAGAAATCTCCTACACTGTTGGGGTATGTAAATTGGTACAGTCACTATGGAGAACAGTGTGGAAGTTCCTTAAAAAACTAAAATTAGAGTTGGCATATGATCCAGCAATCCCAATCCTGGGCATATATCCAGAGAAGAGTATAATTTGAAAAGATACATGCACCCCATTGTAAACAGTACTTTTCACTGAAGCACTATTTATAAGGGCCAAGACATGAAAGCAACCTAAATGCCTATCAACAGATGAATGGATAAAGAAGATGTGGTGTAACAGACACACACACAACAGAATATTACTCAGTCATAAATAATGCCATTTGCAGCCACATAGATGGACCTGCTGCTGCTAAGTCTCTTCAGTCGTGTCCAACTCTGTGCGACCCCATAGATGGCAGCCCACCAGGCTTGTCCGTCCCTGGGATTCTCTAGGCAAGAACGCTGCAGTGGGTTGCCATTTCCTTCTCCAATGCGTGACAGTGAAAAGTGAAAGCGAAGTCGCTCTGTCGTGTCCGACTCTGTGCCACCCCATAGACGGCAGCCTACCAGGCTCCTCCATCCATGGGAGTTTCCAGGCAAGAGCACTGGATTGGGGTGCAATTGCCTTCTCTGATAGATGGACCTAGAGATATACTAAGTGAAGTCAGACAAACATTATATGATACCAATTATATGCAGAATCTAAAGAATGAAACAAATGAATTTATTTACTAAACAGAAACAGAATCACAGACTTTGAAAACAAACTTATGGTTCCCAAAGGAGGGAGGTTGAGGGGATAAATTAGGTTGTATAAAATAATCAACAGGGCCTGCTGTACAGAGTTTTGGGGTTTTATTCAAAACTCTGAAACAATCTACATGGGAAAAGAATCTGAAAAAGAACAGACATACACACGTGAAAGTGAAGTGTTAATTGCTCAGTTGTGGTTGCCTCTTTGTGACCCCATGGACTGTAGTCCACAGCCAACCTCCTCTGTCCATGGGATTCTCCAGGCCAAAACATACTGGAGTGGATTGCCATTCCCTTCTCCAGGAGTTCTTCCTGACCCTGGATCTTCTGCATTGCAGGCAGATTCTTTACCATCCGAGACACCAGGGAAGCCCAGACATATGTATACATATAATTAAATCACTTTGCTGTTCACCAGAAACTAACATAATACTGTAAATCAACTATATTCCAAATTTTTTTTTAATTTAATGAAAAAAAGTAAAATTAACCACAAAAAAAAAAAAATCCCTATCCAAAGTTTGCCAAGCACTGGGAATATATTTTGGTAAGGAGAATCTATACAGTTCTTTTAGCTAATATCTAACTGAGGGATGTCAAACAAAACTTAAATGTAGCCTCTATGATTTTCTTTTTAAAGTCTTACAATTCTTTTTTCCTGTCTTGGTACTAGATAATTAAATATTTTTTAAAGGATGCTAAAGCATCAATAACACAAAACAGATACGAACTTAGTAACTACTGTGAAAAGTTAAGAAGCGGAATAAGAAGGGAATCAAATCTTCAAAGCCTGACCTTTCCCCTCACCAGCAGATCTGGCCCAGAGTACATATCTATTCCCATTAAAAAGTGCTGCAGTTGATGCCATGTTCTTTCTCTTTGTCATTATGTAACTGATTTTCACCTGTATTTAGAATTTTTAAAGAACTATGTTTTAGATGATAGGTGTTTTAAACTACTAAATAGAGTATTGATGTGTGGGTGGCTATTTGTCTTTTTTTGCACTCTGCAGCTGAAAGCCTAAGGGATCTGCAACTGAACAGAAGAGATTTTAAGAAGCAGA